AAATGTATTATGAATTGTTTATAGAATATAATATAATAAAATATAGACTATAAATTTCTCCATTTTGGTTTCTGATATTTTCTCAAAGGAGAGCACAGGATTTGTGATTTACAGAGCAGACATAAACTACAGCAGACAAATAAACAAACAATTTCACTTCAGTTGTCAATAACCGGCAGATATATCTGTCAGGTTTAACAGACAGAACATTTCAGGTATGTCTACAGGCATGATGTGAATGTGCCTGAATTCCTGTTGTGATAAGCGCCATCACACATGTGTCATTCATACTGTACACCAGGGAACAAGCAGGCATCTTAATCCTCTTGCTGATGACAGACAGACCTACACCGTCACTAGCTGGAAGCTCTGGGGATGCTGCTCTGTGTTTTAATTCTGCGTACATGTATTTCTATACGTGTATGTGTCTTGCCAGTATACCGTTTCTGCAAAAGCGCGTGTGTCACAGCAGGTTCAGACAGCCAACACACTAACCTGTTTAACTCACTCGGCGCCTGAGCCACTGATGGGGGCCCTTTACTGCTCCCGGCTGGTCCAGCCCCTAAAACAAGCTCCTGGGCTGCAGCAGCGGTTAGGACCCAAACCAAGCCTCCATTCACCTCATCAACCCAGCTGTTTATTTTCAGAGGCATTAGAGGAAACACTCGACAGGGCTTATCAGATCCAAACAGTCGCACGTCTTTGTTATTTTACACACAGGCCTCCTCTCAACTCAGCCTCATTTTCAGTAATTGTTTTCTTTCTTGCTTGGTAGAATAACACGGTGGGCTACATTTAACACAAGTGGTAAGGGAATCCGTCAGTGTAAACAAGGCAGATACAATGCACACTGGGATTTTATCTGAGCCTTTTCTGTTATTCTGTGTTTTTTAAGGGCAGGGCTGGAGCAAATATTGGAGTGTACATGTGTTAAAGTGAAATTGGTGAAATTAAATACAGGTCTTCAGCCTCAGCCTCTCATACAGACCTCTGTTTTTCTCAATTACTGCTGCACTAAACATCAGACCCACACAGGGCTAGTACTGGATCTCCAGAGATACTGGACTGAAGTCTTTTATTTAACTACTTAATTTAATCTGCTTTAAACAAACTATTGTCATCTCACAGCACAACAGAAATCCTTTGCTTTTTAAAATGTGCTGCCAAAATGTTGTGATGCTGAAGAAAGACGGAGTTGTTGTGACACTGTAGTACATGTGTTCAACATGGTGGCAGTGTTGCACTGTCTTTGGGACACCTGAAGCCCTCGGTGCCACCCAGTACCAAGCAGCTGCAGACAGTGCTGCTGATTATCAAGCAGCCATGAGGATCAACAGGCTGATTTTTTTTGTACCAAATCATGATGCACAGTGCTCTGCACATGTCAGCTTAATTGTGCTGCAGATTGCGGAGGCACAGACAATACACAATTGTCTGAATTCAGAAAACAGTGAGTGTGCTGAATCATGTGAGATCTAATCATTCCTCCCTATCAAAAGAGACAGCCTCAGTGGAGAAATCAGCGAGTTTTCAGCAAGCAGGAAATGTTTTCAGTCACTCATGACTGACAACGCAACCTCTGTTCAGCCGCAAGGTCCTCAGACAAGCCAGCGTTACAGCCAAATATCAAGGCAAACATGGTCCAAATCCCCCAGTCCACCTCCGCGTGCTGCCAGCAGGAGCTCTCGTAGATGGGCCGAGCTCCGCTCTGCCAACTGCGCCATAAAATAAACACACAGTAAATCCAGCATGATTAACATTAATCATGATCACGTCACTGCTAATGCACTGACTGAGGGCCATACAGTGAAATCACACTGACCTAGACGCTTGTCTCCTTGTAAGGAGAGGGGGTCGGCACAGACACAACGCTGAACGCTGTGATAACTAATAAGAATTCATTAAAAGTGAAATTAAACAGCTGTGTAAGTGAATGAGTCTCAGACAGAGAATGACGTGACTTGAACGCACAAGTCATCATAGGTGTTTGACATGGCAAACCTCGCTATATTTGTGTGACCCCTGTATCTGGAGAGAGCGCCGCTTTGAATACATGCAACTTTTGGGAAAGACATTTATTTAAAAGGCTCTTTTCAACTGTGGCAGTGCCAGACACGGTTTGACTAAAAGGTCCCGCAAGGCTTGTAACTTATTGTCGAGGATTGGATTTCAGCTAAAATTAGCCATCAGGCCCAATTTATTACTCTGATTGAGGAGTCTGAAAATGCCAGTAACGGGCTCCCCATTATATAAGCTAAGCCCTGAGTTGAAGATATAATGTTGCAGTTTAATTCAGCCCACATCACTTGTGCGTCAAATGTGTAAAAGTGGTAGTAATAGTAGCTTAGGTTTCCCCCAAAGTATTGAACTGGCCTGAGAGAGGCTTGGAAAAACAGCAAAATCCCCTACCAATTTTATGGAGGTGGCAAAACAAGCGTCTTTCCTTCGGTGACTTGACTTATTAAACCCGCTGGAGACTGTGAGTTATGAAACGGGGGAGCAAACTCAAACTGGCACATTATGGCTCAGGCAGTTGTAGAACAAAATGCCCCTCAGTTTGGGTCACGATTGTGATCTTAATTCAATATAATTCATTCCTACAATGTGGTGAAATTAACTGTAATGTGTTTAGTTGCAGCAGAGAGTGCTGGGGAGAAGTGAGCTACATGTAACTGAATTATGGTTTAAGTACATTTTGCAGTAGCTTGCTGGTAGTTCAACTATTTGCATAGTGATTCAAGTTGTTTAATTATGTTTTTCTGCCATTTTTGTGTTTTTAAAAGTCAAACTACAACCAATTTTTAACCATAAAAGGAAAGGAAAGGAATGACTCTGACCACCATTAGTCACAAGTATTAATTATTGCTATGTATTAACGAACGGTCAGAAATGTTGTTGCATGCAATTTTAAAGGATACCTGGCTGACTGAATTATCCTGTTTGGTGCAACACCCTCACCTTCTTCCAGTAGCTACACGATATAGAGATATTTCATGTAGCATAGCAGCCATTCATAACAAAATGTTTCTGTTTATGAGACCTGTCACATCAGTTTACCATCATAAATAATTTGAATATCTGTTGACCAGCGCGCAGCTCACCCTGTTTTATTACAAATTCTTTATCATTGTACTGATCTGTCTTTGCACCAACAGAGGCAACAGTGTTCCTCCAGAGGTTTGCACACAAGCTCACCTAAAGGACAAATGTCCTTTTGATTGAAAAGTCGTTTCCTCCTCTCTGTTTAAACACAGGTGTTGATTCTGGTGCAAACTACTGCTGCTGCTGCTGCTGCTGCTGCTGACGCCCTCCCCTCATTTGCTCTTTTAAATATGAAACAGGCCAAATGGTTCCTCTGCTGAGTACACTCGGGCAGGACCTGTGGACACTCCAGCAATTATCAGAGATTATTTGACATCCCCCCGGCACCCCACCCCAACACACACATACACTCCCTTTCTCGTTTTTCCACCCTCTAAACTCGCACGAGCGGCAGGGGATCATAATAGTTTGCAGTTTGAACATGTCTGCTGCTTGAAAGCGTGTACCAGCTCTGCTGCCAGGAAACAGTCTGTCCTGCCACACTGCTGTAGTACATGGAGACAGGCACTGCCCTGGCTCTGGACACGAACAAGAATACGGGCCAGACAGCCCCCTTCTCCCTTCTCCCCTCTCCCCCTAATGTCACGTACTTCACCCAAGCGTGGGTGTATCTCTGCTGCGTCTGCAGAGTTTTTCAGCTTCTCGAAGCCTCGCAATACGCTAACGGCTTTCTGTGCTTTTCTTTCTTTACTTTCTGCTTAGATTATCTGAGTAAGTTTTCCTTCCCATGGTGCACTATGGATTCCTGCGTGTCTGTGGTTGGCACAAACGCATGTCTCGTGGCACAGATTCTGGCCCGTGGCACTGGCGTCCTTCGAGCCCACACCCAGTGCCATGCTGCACACTCTTCACCACTGACATCCTCCACTCTGACCAGAGACTGTAAACACCAATGGAATGGACCACACACACACACTCCCAATGTTTGAGTGAGCTGCTTGGTGCAGGAGCATGCATGAAGGAACACACACACACACACACACACACACACACACACACACACACAATTGGAACTGAAGGCCCAATCAGTTATTTTGTCTTTTTTGACTTTATGAATTATAGATGCATTCACGTGTGTTTGAAGGAAATGAAACAAGAAATTTGTGTGTTTCTCATAAAATCATATTTTGAGTTTTTTTTAAATGACCCAGATATTTTATATGATATTCTATCCAGAACATTCTGTTGCCCAAGCTAGATTTTCATACACAGTATTAAAGTTTTAGCTCTTGAATTAACTGTGGAACTCCAAGATCCTAATACTTATTTTACAAATACTAAAAAATATTTATGTTGTGTAAATACAATCACACAAATGTATTTAATATGTCTTTAATTTCCCTTAATAAGCAGATTACTGCACTTTTGAAAAGCTGAAATGCAGCAGTAAAACAATTATTCCCCTAAATGAAATTAAATGGATATGAAATATTGGTTTTGTTTTTATTTAACCTTTAATCAAAATGTACAGTATTACATTTTCAAGATATCCTGTTAAAAATCAAACGAAGTAATACCGATGATAAATGTTGTAACATTTATGATCCATTTTGGTCTGGAAACATTTAGAAAATCTGACACATATTTAAATAACTGTATTAATACAATATCTTCTCTTATATTAATATGTATATAATAATAAGTAATGTCACAGTCATTTCCATTGCCATAAGTCTTTTCTATCACAATAAACAAAGTGTGACTATTGTGGAAATGACATTAAAAAACTTTTGATATGTTAGCATGCTAATATCTGTTTAGCGTTAGCATTAAATGTACACAAAATGCACCATAAAAAATATGCTGTTCCTTATTTTTTGTACATGTAAATGAAATACAACCTGTTTGGAAACCAGGAAACATATTCTTTATTTAAAAACACACAAAAAAAGTTACTTCGATTTCTTCCAATTTCAGTTTCCTCCGTGGTGCTAACTCCTCCAGCCATGTGCTCTCCTGTCACATGACTGTTGCTGTGGTCATCAAGCATACAAAACTCTAAAAATGAAAACAGGACAGGTGTTCTTTCTATGAAAATGACATAAAATACTAACATATCTTACAACACACGATACATTTAAAAAATTGTATTTAAAGTAAACATCAGATCAATAACACATTTAAAATTAAGCAGAGTTGAATGTCCAAAGTCTGGCTCAGGGACGAAGGAAATACAGCAAAAACCTCACATAAAAGGCCACTTTTAATGCAATAAAAATGACTGATCTATCAAATAATTTTTGCATGTTCCTTTTGGTTTCAAGTAAGCGTGACAAAATAATCTTAAATAATCTTCTGTACTTCATTTTCATTTTGAAAACTGCTGTGACAAGCATCCTCTTATAACAGGGCAAAAATAATGTTTTGATCAATGGAAGCTGAATACTGAATAAACAAACAAACAAAAATAATATACATTTATAAATCACAGATAAGAATAAAAAGAATACCGTTACATAATATCCCACTGTAAACAGTGTGGTATAAATCAGAGTAGATGACACAGTAATACGCGAGGTGCTGTAGGAAGTGAGCTGTTTGTACTGCACGACAATGTGTACTTTTCAGGCCTCTGCGGGCTCGAGCCGCGTGTATATAATGGCCAAGCTGTACAGTAGCTGACCACTCGGTGACGGATGCCAGCTGACAGGTGGGACCACAACACCTCTTCTAAATGTTAACGCCCTGAGCCAGAGCCTCATTTCTCATGCCTGTTAGACACTGCAGCTACTAGAAAATAATGCAAATACCTCAACTAAATTTAAAATGACACTGAGATAATAATGCAAACGGTTAACTTGTGGTTCCTGTGAAAATATAGACAACCTTTGAGAATGACAAAACATGTTGCACTGCCCTTACTTGATCATCACAGCCGCTTTTGACAGTGGCAAACTTCTCCACTTGCAGTGTTTTAAGCACCTTATTAGTTTAAAGCCCAAGGCACCAATCAGTCACTGCAACTGACTTCTCTGAGTTTATTCTGCTACGAGCTTTGCAGACTGAAAACATATTTGCAAACACTCTCTGAGTACCGAGTCATCCTGTCTTCTGTTCCCTCCAGCAAGCAGTCTCACTTGGCGAGATTTACAACCCCAGGCAGGGCTGGCGGATAGGGACCTACACAGGAGTGTGTACGCGTAGTGTTGTGCTATCTTTCCTGTTTTTTTCATCATCAGCAGCAGGTGTGCCATTTAAAAAACGGGGTCAAGTTGTTCCCCGGCACTTGATTCAAGGGGTGAGGATGAGGCAGGGCTCAGTGAGCACAAGTATCCCTGTCAGCTGACATTCACGAGGCCCTCGGCTGCCATCGTGCCCTCCAGATGACTCCATTGATTTATATTGGACCTCTGTGGTCGGAGTGGTTTTACTGGTGTGGTTGCCGCAGTGCCCTTTTCAGTAAAGCTTACGTCAAACGTGTAGCACACGGTAAATTGCTTTGCCAATCCATCTAAATATTAGGAGGAGGAATGAAGGAGGGATCAAAAACAACTCAAAAGTGACTCAAAAGACCTTTTTACACGGGCCGAGGCAGACTGCATCTCGCTCTCATTGCTCGGAGGGAGTCGCCAAGCTGCATGTGTTTTCTCACCAGCTTTAAATAAACAAGCCCAGCTCCAGATTTAATGAACAGGAAAAGCAGGCTGATGAGAGAAATCAGTTTATTTAAGGACTGATGCCACATGATAAACAGTAAGCTCTCGGCGTTACTTAGGGCGCATTTTTGGAAGTGCAAATGACTTCATGGTTGCCAAGAAATACATAGCAACACATTTATAATAGCCAGTGAGTTTGACAGTGTAAATGTAATTTGAAGAAATGATTTTAGCGATGCTACTCTAACCCAGCTGTTTCCTAGAAGCTGAGATAATTTGGGAGATTACAGCTCTTGGCTGTTTGTTCGGTCCTATAGCCAAATCAAGGCGAATCCCCCTCATGCAACATTTGCATGATGGCCACAAAATTACACAGGTCAACATTAATACACAACCGCCCAGCCAAGATAAAAAAACTGCTATCTCCATGATCTGTTGACTCTGTGAGCGAGCGAGATAGGTAAATGTTAAAATGTCTAAGACCGGAGCAGTTAGAGTGCAAACATGTCACAACAGCTGTGAACACAGTATGGTTTTTAGATGAGCTGAGAGGAGATCTTTGTGTAAGAGTTGAAATACAAGTCGCGCTGGGTGAGCAACAGCAGCGAATCCCTTAATCCTTAAAGCCTTTGTTTGGGACCTCAGATGGGAGCTACTGTAAAACTGTATGTTGATGTGAAACAAAGGTCCTCTGTGTGTGTAAGTGTGTGTGTTTGATATAGAGCCAGACCAATAAATCCGTCAGGCTGACACATCGGCTGATATTAGCACATATGCAGAGAGTATATAGATAAAAAATAAAAAAAAATGTTGGGGAGTAACTAGTTACATGTAATTAAATTACAAAATAGTTGTAATCAGTTACAGTTACTGAGAAAAATAATCTAATTAAATTACAGTCACTAATCAAAATGTTGGTGATCACAAAGGGTTTAAAGCCAAACATATTATTTCCGATAAAAACACACCATCTCAAAACACCTAAAAAAAATCCGTAGGAATGGCCCAAGGAACTTGAAGATCTCAAGGTGTGAACCTGGCCCCCAAATTCCCCAGATCCAAATTTAATCAAGCATCCATGGGATATGCTGGTACCCCACCTCACAACACATGGGACTCAAAGGATTCACTGCCAATACCCTGGTGCCAGAAACCACAGGAGACTCCGCAGAGGTCTTGTGTCCATGCCTCGACAGGTCAGAGACAAGTCCAATCCACAAAAGCCTCAATGTGGATTGGGGGTACCTCTGGAGTACTGGCACGACTCACGGATGCTCGATCAGATTGGGATCTGGGGAATTTGGAGGCCTGGTCCTAAAAAAAGCATATGGCAGATTGACTGTGTGAGACTTTTTACTATCTATCAGCTCTCAAAGACGAGTGAGTTAGTCATAATGGGAAAGATAATAAATACCTTCCTGTAAACATATTTATTGTCAGTTAAATGTCGAGTTAAAAGGAGCTCATCTTTCACCAACACAGAGTGCTCAGGCAGAGGAGTCTTTTACGCCACATTAGGGAAAAGAGAAATGTACAAGAACAACACAACCAATGTCACTGGTGATTTTTCAGGGGTTGAGAAGGAGGCGATATTGTAAAGAAGAAAAAAAAAACATAATTCCACGACAGTAAGCAGGACTGGCTTTCAGATCAGAGGTTGCAAAACATTACAGCCTCAACGCTTTTTATCATCTCCAGCGAGGGGGCAGCCGGGTCGGAAGGATAAATGAGGAGGTGCACTCCACTTTGGTGTCAGGTGGGTTTCAGGTTCCTGCTCCCCAAAATGTTTTTAGTGTTGACTTTCACCTTGTAGCCTGCCTCCAGCTCTCCTGGGCCTACTTATCATGTACAACAAGAATGATGGATGACCTGTGGGAGTGATCATCAGCTTCCATAGCTGATGCAGCAGCCGGCTCATAATTCTTTGACTGTGTAGAGATTAAATTAAACTGAAGACCAGTCAGAGTACGGACGGCTATTACTTTTCCTGATCTTTTTCGGAGAGTCACTGAGACAATGTAGAAACAGGTGCACGATTTGTTTGTCACTCATGTTTGTCTATGTAAATATGTGTCCGTTTGGCGTGCCATTTACTTTTTCCCCCTCTTTTTCCTCCCTCAGTAACATGGAAAGTGTAAAGGCTTCGTTAATGTTTAAACTTTCACGTGTAATCATTTATTCAAATCTTTAAACAGTCATGTATTAGTCCTTTTCATTTTAAAGTTAAAAACAGATAACCCAATCTGTGTTTTGTGTGCTTTATGCACTACAAGATAACATACCTGATTTACATGCAAGATGAGCTGAGGACCATCACTGAACGGGAATGTTTTATAGCAGAGAACATGTATTCAGTGGTTTCTGTAAAACAAGGAAATATAAGGTGTGACAAGAGCCAGAGCTGCAGTGCAAACACAGATGACAGTCATTTGATTTATAGCTAAGCAAATACATTACAGTGGTTAACTCGGAGCTCCAGCTCAGGGGATGAATATGCTGATTTGCTTATTTAAACCAACAGATACTGAGAACAGTCAACAGGCATTTCTCCGCACCTGGGTTTTTATAACTGTGCACATTATAATCTCAGTACAATATTCTTCTGCATCAGTCATGATGGATTTAAAAATATATATTTTTCTGACTTTCCTTTTAAACAACAGAACAAAGAAAGCAGAAAATGAATTTAATGTTCAAGTGAAAGTGTATTTTTAATCATCCCATAGCTCAGCGGTTCACAAGTGGTAGGTCGCTGCCCAAAAGTGGGTCATGGGCCCATTCTGAATGGACTGAATGTAAAAATAACACATTTTATTTTTAAGTACAGTGAATTTCTGGCACAGAGCATTTATTTTGAAGTGCTGTTTTCTGCTGTAGAGTGAGAGACTAACCGACAGCCACTTGATGAAGACAGCAAACTAGCTAAACCACATGGCCAAACAAAAGTATGACATTGAATGTATCAAACTTTAGGAGCTTGAACTAATGACTAAGGAGAAATCTGGACCGCATGGCTGGACCAGTAGGGTACCACTGCTGTAGCTTTCAAGCTTGTACCAAAGCCTGACTCATCTCATCAAAATTGGTCATCCTCATGCTTTTAACTTAATTGTGTCCATAATAAATTTTGACTACTAACTTGATACTGGTGAAAAAGTTCATATGTTTCTTCATAGATTTCTAATGGTTTATAGCACAGAATATAACTCAAACATTGGAGGAAGATAAAACACGACACAGATGGCATGCAGCAAATGTTCCAGGTCACATTCATATCACCAAAACTTGGTATATGATCGAGCCAATGTAGCCACCAGGCCTTAAAGGGGAACTACGACCATTTTCAAATGCATACATATTATATGTGTCATTCCTATGGTCTAAATCAGTCCAAAAACATCAGTAAACATTAACAACTCTCTTCCAGATCCAAACACTAGAGTGCTAAAACTCAAATTTGTGACGTCAGGGTATACTTCAAGTATAAAGTGTGGAGCTGCTGCACAGACAAAGGATTGGGAAAAATGTTAGAGATGACACAGAATGCACTCAGGGGTACATTTTCTGCTTCACAGCTGAGAACACTAATAACGCTTATTTGATTATTAGAAAAAAAAGAAAGAAGAAAAAAAAAACAATCAGTAGTTTAATCACAAATTTGAGACTTACTTCTGTGGTTTCTGGCTTTCAGAGACAAAATGTCATGTTTACAATACCCACTAAACTTTCCTAGGCCATGGAAATAACATACTGGAATTGTTAATGTCAGTGGTGTCCCCCTTAAAAAACTTTTCTTGCCATGCACCAAGGGAAATAGCCTTCGTTTCATGCATGTTTTAACTGGACATCATGCAAACTGGTGACATGTAGAGGGCAGGCAGGTGGATGGGCTCCTCTGTCAGGCAGGTGGATGTTCAGAGAGCCTGTCTGTAGACAGGTCCGTCTATCCTGGAATGTGCCTCTTTGATCCCTGGATTATAGCTCATCTGCTCCTCTGTGATCCAAGAGGCTCCTCAGATCCTATTGATATATTACCTGTCTGTCATGATATGCAGATCGTATCAGCTGCATGGATCCTCAGCTAGGATTTGACAATTTGTAATAATATACCAGCTACAAATTTAGTAAAAGTATCCATGTAGAATGATTTTTCTATTCGACCAAAATTGCAAAAAGTTTGTTTTTATAATTGAAAAATATATATAGTTTGTACATTTGTGCAGCAAGTGTTATTTCAATCAATCAATCAATTATATTTAATTATTTGCTGTTAAACACACATAGCAGGTCACATCAAAAGCAAAATGAATAAATAAATAAAATAAAAAAAGAATAAAATAAAAAATAAAATAAAATAAAATAAAACAGAATAAAATAAAATAAATTAAAACATCCAAATTGCACCCAAATAAAATAAATTCCTAAAGTTGCATAGAAGTTTCAGGTTTTTTGAAAACGAAATGAAATAACAAAAACAATATAGCAATTTTCATACTCTTAAAACAGTAAAACAATAAAGCAAACAGGTACCTGCACAACAGAATGACTAATATCCAACAATACTGAAGCTTCAAATTGTTGTGGGACCACTTTGATCAAACAGAAATAACCATCCAACTAATTGCCAGCATCAAACCATTACAACTATTTTACAAGTACCACTTTACAAGAGTATTGCTACAGTGAAGTGAATGTCCTGTGACAAAGTTGAGCAATAAGTAATGCTTTTTTATGAGGCACATTCCTCTGGGAAAAGAATGCCAACTGAGTGACCTCAAAAAGAAGAGCTGCGCTGGCTGTGGGCTGAACCGTGCACTGGAGTAACCCATCGGCTCTTAAATCCCCTCCATCCATTGGCTCGACTTCACTGGCCCCTCCTATGAGAACATGCTGTCATAACTGTTCTCTTTATCTCATTTCGCTGTAGTGACGATGGCCCTGTTGATCAACAGAAAGGAGTGTGCTGATAATGTACTGTGGAACGAAGCCGTAATAACTCTGGCTAGACCAATAAGAGCTCTATTATGATAAAGATTAGATGGAAAAAAGTGGGTATGTTAAGACAAGGGTGTCTAAACATGTAGTGAGATATGATAATCAGTTTCCTTGTGGTTGAACTGCACCTTGCATTCAACGTGTGGGAAAAGATGCCATCTATTTTACATCAAACAACCTATGGTGCACAGGATCTGACTAACAGAGCTCCTTCACATGAATTTCAGACAGCTTTTGGTCTCTACCGCCTCTGACGAAACGGCTTTGCATTCCTGGAGAGGGTGCGTCAGATAAAGAAACAGTATGGAAGCACATTTTTGTTCAGTCACTGAGTCAAGGGACTCTCCTCCACTCATACAGCACACAAGTAAACGAGTGTTTTCATTCATTTGTAGCCTAAAACCACTGTTAAATTGTCAATAACAGATTATTTATTCAGCAACGGTAAGTTGTCACTCTTTAACTGTTGCAGGCTGCCATGCACAGATCTTTCACTTTGCCCGGAATTCACTAAAACATTACACAAAAGGGTAAACACGGCACCATTTTAAGAGTTTACTGAGTAATTATTTTCACTGCTATCATGTCTAATTTCACTCAGTAGGAATACATGTTGATCTAGGAAGTCAATAAATTGACTTTCCCGCTGAGTAACTCACAGCTTTCTCCACATTCGGTGCCAACACAGGTCGTGTTTTCCTTTTAGTATATTTAACATGTCATCACATGGGCAGAGCCATTCATCTCCTGTGTGAGGTAAGCCACTCGAAGACAATAATTCATGTGATGTTATTGTAGGGAGAGTTATAAACATGTAATGCAAGACAAAAAGGATTCCTTGTAAAGATTACAAATTATGCCACAATAACAAGTTTGTTTAGGTTTATTTAAAAAAAAACAAAAACAAATGACGAAATAAATGTTTTTCCCCCCGAGGTGAACCAATGAACCGACAGAGAGTTCAGTAAATGAAATATCCTTCACCACCAACACAGAGTGTACCTTCCTCAACCTCACCACAGCTCTTAGACAATAATTACAGCCTTTTCATGTTTCATGTGTTTTACATTTCCTCTTTCGGATGACAGTGCAATGAAGCATTCCTCCACAAGTCCCACAAAGTTTATCCAAGTGTGGTTTGGAGGCTAAACCTATTATCTGAGTATCTGCTGATCAGACAATAGAAAAACTACGAGAGCTTGCCACACAGAGAAAGGCAGCACATGTGCGACAAACACATACTGTGATTTCATAGTTATTGTAGGAGAATAAACACAGACAATGGTAAGACAAACACTTGCCATTCTCAGCTGATAGGCTGCTGATTCACTGTAAGTCTCATGACTCAGTCGGTCATGTATGCCGGTTTATGCCTTCGCACCGTAATGTCAACAGAATCGGCCTTTGATCCAGCCATGGCCTCGGCTCAGACTCACAGTCTGACCCAGCGTTTAGTTACAAAGTGGGTGTGCTGAGGATATACTGTGGCTTCCTTTGTGGCAACACTCTCATTTGGCTCCATGTTTAAGGGAAAATATAAAATTGACCCTGTATTTTTACTCGGCACACATTTAATCCGCTGGCAGTTTCCTGCCGCAAATCCTTCCTGTCACACATCACACATCATGTTGAAAAAATAGCAAATTTCCCCATAGGGCAGTCCTTGCATTTACACTGTATGTGACTCAATAGACATACTATTACACATACACTATAATTAAACCTGTGTTATGAATGTACCCACCCTTCCACATACCATTGTCTGTGCAGTAAGTGGGTGCAATTAGATCCCTCACCTGTCAACTTTGATTATCGGGGAAAGCCCCGCTCATGGAAGAGATTCTTCATTTTTTTAATCTTATCCGAATTTTTTGTCAATAGATAGAAAAAAAAAATTTTTTTCAAAAGCATTCAAACAAGGGGGATGGCTGTTTTTCCTCTTTCTCTATACTGAACAGAAAAAAAAACAGATGAAATTAGTTTGGAAGTAATGTCTTTTAGTAAACATATATGCAAACGTGTGCAATATAACAAAATAAGTAAATAAAAATACATTATTTTCCAGTGTGAGTTGGACCATATGCACAAATTATTACACACACAGCCAGTTATCAAATGTTCAGCATTTTCCTTTCTGATATTCATCCTCCAGACAGTAGTGCAGCGGGCAGAGGGCAACAATCTCAGACACAGACAGTATTAGGCTGCTGTCTGAGCTAATACTCAGATGATACATCCTCCAGACCACGAGTGATTCATTACGGGACTGTCTCACAGACCCTTTAGTGTATGGAGCATCTTTTTACATAACCAAGGCACATAATTAACCAGACCAGAAGATGCTTTCTTTTCATAGCACAAAGGCC